CCCAACACGGCAATGCAGCAGGCAAGAACATCTCTGCTGGCAGAGCTTGAAGTGAACCAAGGCCAATGGAGCTGCAGGGGAGAAGCATATCCAATCGTGCCTCCATATCCAGAGTATCCTTTAAAAATACCATATTCCTCTGGTTTATTCCTTGATGAAATGTGACAAATCGCACTATCTGCTCCTTCAGTATGAGTGGCAGTCAAAAAATAAAAAAAATATCCTACTGTTTTACTTATTTTTAAAGATTTTATTTTAAAGATTTTATAATATTTTCCCTCTGAAGAGATCTGACATTTCTCTCAAGTAGCCCTGTCTCGTAGTTTGCCAATAATTAAAGAGGGTGAAGTGAAGCTGAACTTTAGAAGATTCTCCTTCTATTTATTTATTTTTTTTAAATATTTTTTTGGTAAAAGGAGAAAAGATAATATAGTTGAAATGCATTTACCCACACTTTAATTTTTTGCATCCAGTAGATGTCAGAAAGGTCCAGTTTAGGATTGGACATTAGGGCTTAGCACTGTCCAGAGAAGCCTCTTTGTGAGGACTTAACAATCCAGTGACATTCAAGATATAATAAAAATGAGATGCAAGGTTCACTGAAGTCACACCGAAGTCATAGTGCCACAGATTTGTCTGGGGATTTAGAAACAGAAATATCAATTTCTCTCTTTCTTCTGTGCTGTAGGCCAACTAGCTTAGAGATTTAATAATTTGGTATGTCTGTGTCAAGAATGTACAGAGGAAAAACAGGAAAAAACAGACCAAAAGAGCAGAAGGTTTTTATTTTTATTTAGTTTTGCATTCTCTTTCTGACAACAATTTGTAATCCTCCAAATCCTGAAAAGAAAAAAAAAATCTCTGAAGAAAGCCTGGCAAAGTAAATGCTGTGAGCTCCACAGCTTTAATTGTTGTGATGCTATTATCTTTTGGGAAAGGAACATAGCCCAGCTCTGCTCTCCCCAGGGAATGCTGAAGGCTACTGGCAGTCAGTTTCCTGTAAAATTCACGGAAACTGCTTCTCTCACAGGAGTAATAATTGATTTGATTTCATTTGCTGTGAAAGACAAATTTCACCAACTGCTTTTAGGACTGAACATGGCATCCGTAGATATGTGAGTGCATGCGATAGATATGCTCGTGCCTGCTTATCTCGGCATTGATGGGAACTCCGCTGACTGCATTCAGTGAATAAATGACTCGAAGGCTTTCAGTAAGCTGGGAACCTTAAAATTTCCTTGGAATGGTGTATCTTGCTTGACACCAAGGAAATTAATAACATACAGAAGCATTATTGATGACAGCTGTCATGGTGTAACTATTTTTAGCTAATATTACTACTTTCAAGTAATTTCATCTACTTGATAGTTAGTTCTGGTTTTGAGACCTAGGCTTACTATAGAAAGATTCAGACACCCCCAGAAGGTGCTTCCTCCTCGTATAACACCAATTTCTACACCAGATGGAGTTAATTACCACCCAGAGGTTCCTAATTGACCTTTCTATGGCAGTCAATATAGGCTGGACAGTAGTGGTACCACTGGCAAAGCACACTGTTCAGTTAGTTATTTCCCAGGACACACTAATAGCTTGTAGGGCTGAGATGAGTCTTATTTGGGGAGATGAGGTCTACTGAAGAAGTTCACAAGAAAAAGAAAGGAAAGGAAAGGAAAGGAAAGGAAAGGAAAGGAAAGGAAAGGAAAAAAAAGGAAAAAAAAAAGGAAAAAAAAAAAAAAGGAAAGGAAAGGAAAAAAAAAGGAAAAAAGGAAAAAAAAAAAAGGAGAAAAAAGGAAAGGAAAGAAAGGAAAGGAAAGGAAAGAGAAAGAAAAAAAAAAAAAAGGAAAGGAAAAAGGAAAGGAAAGGAAAGGAAAGGAAAGAAGGAAAGGAAAGGAAAGGAAGGAAAGGAAGAAAGGAAAGGAAAGGAAAGGAAAGGAAAGAAAAGAAAAGAAAGAAAGAAAAGAAAAAAAGAAAGAAAAGAAAGAAAAGAAAAGAAAGAAAAGAAAGAAAAGAAAAGAAAAGAAAAGAAAAAAGAAAAGAAAAGAAAAGAAAAGAAAAGAAAAGAAAAGAAAAGAAAAGACCCTGAGGCCATTTATACACCCTTCAAAACAGCTGGGTGGATCTAGAGTCTAAGGCAGCCTCTGAAAGTGATACTGAAATTTGTGATCACTGATGCTGAACACTGAGATCACATTACTACTGTCTGGTTTGCTCTGGATTTTCCTTCCTTGAGTTTTTATAGTCAGCCAAAGGAGATGTTAGACTTCAGGAGATGCTTTTCCTTATACACTTCTTCCTGCTGTGGTGGAAAGAGCAAAGCTTAAAAGCTGCAACACGTCCTATCAGTTTGGGAGTGTCTTGGCAAGTAGAATGAGTTTGTGTAAGAAAACATGAAACAGAGACAAAAAAATGCAGGAGCAAAATTAAAGTCAGGGTTGCTTGGCTTGTGATCTTCCCTGATGAGTCAGGGAAAAGGGTCTTGTTCTTCCTACCCTGATGAGGTCCAAGTCACGTAGCTGGATGGCAGGTATCATTAAATAGGTAGCAGAAGACCCTGTATTTAAGTCACTGAACCCATTGAGGGTCTCAAAAGATAAGATAAAGATAAAAGATTTATTTAGAAAGGATATATATTTTCAAGTTTCCTTGCTTCAATTACTATGATGAGCAAAGGAAAACATTGGTTGTTCACGCATCCTCATTCTATAATGAGGTATATCCAGAATCACATACACAAGGGAAGTGTCCTCAAGAGGTCATTTAATTCATCCTTTACCTAGAAATTGGAGAAAGTTCTAAACGTAGAATGACCTTAGCCCTGAAGTTCTATGAAACTCAGAATAAAAGGAAAAAGCTTTGGACTTACATCATCACCACATCATCACTGTTTAATGGCACGCTGATACTGTTTGTTTCTATTAACACCATCAGCAGCCTTTGGCAAAGCTGAATGATTGGTGTTGCTGACTTCTCTACAGAATAAGACTGAGGGTAAAATTGCCTTATACTGTTTATTTTACTTAGAAAGAACTCCCATGTGATTCTTTTTCTAAGAAACACTTGAGCATGAAGACATTCTGCATTTGATCCTTTTTAACACCAATTAAATAAGAAAGAGAAAAGGTCAGTTATAACCCATTTTGGACCAGCAGAGGTAGATTGTGACATAGGATGGATTTCAATTCTATGAATAACGTGATGACACCTCTTTTATATCCTATTGCTTGGTCCATCATCTCTCTCTCTCCTTGGCCAGAAGAAACTTGATAAAGTCAAGCTGGGGTAACATACTTGTTGAAAGGGCTCCTCTACTCCATGAAGTATTTGTAGCAAAACAAAACACATTTCTCACATAATATTTTTAAAAAGCATTTAGTTTTTGTGCTCTAAAAAGTGGGCATAGGAATCATTTTTCATCTTACACCTAAGCCTCCTCACTTAGACAAACTGCTCTGAATGAGTGTTGCAGGTGAATATTGTCCTGGCAACAATGGCATGCAGGCATGGAAGGGAAGAAGGAGGAAAGCGCAGAAAGACCCAAGTGCCTGAACCCTATGAACAAGGGAGGAACAAAGTATTGTTTCTAGAACACAACAATAGTCTTTTGCTCATCTGTGGAGGATAGGAAAAACACCCACATGGATTTAAAAATGCTGGGTGAGAGCACATGCTATCCCAGGTGGGAACTTTCATGCCATGTAAGACCACGGCTCTGTCTGGCTTCTTGTGTCTGGCCATGGTGAGTATGATGGCTTCTTGTGTCCGACCATGATGAATATGTTCTCCTACCAACCCTTGTGTACTCTGATGGAGTTTATGGAGCAAGGTGTGTACATTGTGATTCTTTACCTGTTTTCCTCTCCCATTTGTAGTTCAGGGACTGAGTCAGATTGCACCGAAACCCATCATGCAAAAAAATCTGCTGATGGCCCAGCACTCCATGAACTTCTTAATCTTTGTTGGAATCCACTTGACACACTGGCCTCCACAGTTCATTTGTTTTAAGCTTGTTGCCTGTTAACTTCATTTCCTAGTCCCCTTCCCCATGCTGTGTATCTTTATCGCATCCACTTTAGCCTACTCTTTTCACATGAAAGTGTCCTGGACTTGTTTGCTGTTTCTCACAGACAGGCCATTCCACATAACTGACCATTCTTCTTGCTTCTTTGTAGCTTCTCAGAAGGAATAAAACCTTTCTGCTGAACCAGATTGTGCTGACCCAGAAATGTCCACGGTATTCAATATATGTATCATTTTTCTGCTAATTCATTTCCTGGTAATCTCTAGAGCAGTCATCTTTTCCTTTCTTCTTTCCTATATTTTATATTTTTTTCCTGGATGTTTACACATTGATATACTTCTCAAACTGTCTAGAAAACAATACTGATATGCCTGGCTTCTGAGATTCTGCTTAAATCACAGGACGTTATGTCACAATTTTCAGTCCCTGTTTATGATTTCTGTTTTTTTGCCTCTCTTTGTGTGTGTGAATCCTGGTAATATAACAAGAAGTTTGCAGCAAAAATAGAGAATATATTAGAAAATGGGAGTGGAGTTGGTGAAATAAATAAATAAATAAATAAATAAATAAATTCTTGAACCTCTGTGTATGTATGAAAGATCTCTAGCAGACATTGTCCAGGTATTAAAATAATGGGAACTGAAGTTGAAGTGCCACCTTTGTGTTCACAGGGCACTTTAGGACAACCAGTTGTACTAGAGAAATTGCTGTGCCAGGTGGTGTCAGTGCGAGCCCTGAGGTATAGATTATAAACTACATATTCTAGAACATAGCAGCAGAGCAGCATCCTGAGCGCTGCCTGTGCCCCACTGTAAGCACTTCTCAAAGAACCGAGACTGTACTGATTTTACAGTAATAACTGAGAACTGCTGTGGTTGTGACATTCCCTAGCTGAAGTGTCTCCAGGATGTTTTGGCTCGATTACCAGACCATCCAATAATATTTCCAGACAAAACTTGTAGTTTTCCACTGCATTAGAGAATCCTTTTAACAGTCTGAGCTTTATTTATTAATTACATTTGAGTAAACATTAAACAACAGTATATGGAGCAATTAACCTTGTCTTGCTTTTCTCCTTCAAACATTCAGGCTTTCAAGAGATGCCCGTTGCACTTAAGAATTAAAACTGATACTGCTTTTAGTCTCTGCATCCTGCATCATGAATGCCTGCAAGTGAGTTAATCGGAGAATACATCCTAAGTCTAATCTTCATATTTAGTTCATATTTAATTCTGAAATAAGAGTTGGTGTGCCTACAGTAGATAGTCCTATTATTATATTTTGGAGAGATTTGCACTACTGTTACTTGTACTTTCCTTATGCAGTCACTGCTAATATTGTGTATAATTCACATCTTACTTTAATATAGAACTATACTCTTTTTCTTTTCAAAGTTCTTAAAGTCTTAAATCCAGGGACACTTCCATCAGAGGTGTATTTGTTTTTCATTAACTCACTTTTTTAGTATCTCATAATCTCTGTCACATACTTCATAGCCTGTATCACCTATCTCTGATCTGCAACTTGTATCTTCTGCTTTCACAATCTTGAGTGCTGGAGTTTTACTGTCTTTCATTTAAGTCAGCATTACCTTTGTATTTTGTAAACATAGATGAATTCAATCAGGAAGTCTTGCAAGTGAAAGGAATCAACCTCAGGTTAGTACCTACACCACTGAATCAGTTTCATCACTCAAGTGTTCTGAGAAAATTGGCAGTGTTAATTGCCAAGAAACTGGCACGTGATGTAAATAACCCTGCAGAAAGCCCCAAAGCATTTTTTTTCTGAGATGAAACACATCTAATAAGCAACTGTCACTGAAGTAGAGATACCCAGTAAGTTACCTACAAAATGACACCCCCCAGAAGCCAAAAATAAAGTAAACATGTAAATATTTGTACAACCCACAGCTAAAGAAAGAAATCATCTCAAACCATGAACAATTACAATGTGTCAGCATTCATATTATGTGGAAATAACATTTTTTTCATGTTACAGAGTTATAAAACCAACAGATTCAAATACTGTCATTCCTAATTAAAACTAAAAAATACTCTTTCCGTCACCAATAAAAAAGGCTTGAGAACCAGATGGGCTTTGCAAGACTCTTGAAGGCTGATATTCAGACTATTAGACCAATGCAGCCAACAAATGCCAACGATTAAGGTCTTTCCATCTAAATGCCCTCAAAAATCTTAACTTTCTCACTTTTAGATAGAATACCTCAACAGCTATCACCTGCCAGAGGAGTTCAAGCTGTCATCTGGGTAGCTAGAAGATTTTTGAAGACCAGACAGTGTCACTGTATCTTTTTTTTTTTTTTTAAGATAATTTGGCAAGTTAGCAATCAGTAAATCTGAACTTACATTTGATTTGTTTTATTTATTTTTTTCCTCTTTTTGAAGGCTGTCTTCAGAATTTAAACAACCACCCTGTTTTCATCTGCTAGCTGTAAACTAAGACTGATTTTGATGAAGTACAAACTTTCATTCATCATCAGGGTGTATTCAGTTCATAAGTCTTGTCTGCACAATTAACATCCCAATTGCCTTTTAAAGATCTATGAAATATGAATCTGATAAAGGAACTGATAGTCTAATAATTTCTTAGAGTAGACTGGAGTTGAATGACCACAACATTAGTCTGAGATGGGATCTTACTGGTGCAGGACACAGCTTTTTTTTTTTTCTTCTTCTTCTTTTTTTTTTTTTTTCTTTTCTTTTTCTTTTTCCTAGCTAGCAGAGTTCTAACTCAGTTATCATTACCTGGAAGCCAATTGATGTCTGACTGTCTTTGCTACCCCTTCTGAACCTTTTTCAATGCTGAGAGATTTTTTTCTCCAACTTATCATGGTGGAGTCATTGGAACATGTAACAGGTATTTTGCTCCATTACCTTAATGAAACACTGTACAGAATGAAACAATAAAAAAATTACACAGAATCAGATGATAGATCTCTGTGGATTCCCATACACTTCCTTGCATACGGAAGTTAGTCATTAATAACAACTTGCTGGGGTGTGATTACCTCACCTTTTAGTATAATGTATGTCATGGCATTTTCATGTAACACATAGTTCCTTTGTTTGTCAAGATGACATTAAATAACACCTGAAGCATTAGTAAGGGTGAAATACTTAACTTTTAATGCTTCTGCATATTTGATAACAGGTATTGTCCTGCCAGAAATAAGTAATAAAGTGCAGTGATGAAGTGCCACCGCCTGTTACTGACGGACTCGTGCTGCAGGTGTTTCCCTGTGGAGGCTCCGGTGCCCACAAGCAGCTTGTTCTGGTACTTCTGCTGGGACCGAAGTTACATGGACTTGTTTTACCCGGTGTTCATCTGTCGTTGCAGCTGGCAGAGACAACTGAAATTAAAAAGGAAGGCACAGTAACTTATGCACACTTGTTTATTGCTTCTGATGCCTTGGTCTACGTTATCGGTAGCATTAAATGCTGATTATTGTTATCATTTTTAAGTTTACAGCGCCTAGATCTCCCTTTCCCCGCGTTGACTCCAGACGGGCTAAGGAACCCCACCACCCCTCCACCCTCCCCTCAGCCCCTCGGCCCTCCCCGCGCCGCCATTTCCCTGCGCGCCCCGGCCCGCCCCGCATGCGCAGAGGGTCGGGGGCCGGCAGCGGCCCGGGCAGCCTGGGCGCCGGCACCGGCACCGCCGCCATGGGCTGAGGGCGGCGGGGTGGCGGCGGCGGCAGGGGGGGGGCGGCTGTCGGCGGCGGCTCCGAGGATGGAGAGAGCCATGGAGCAGCTCAACCGCCTCACCAGGTCCCTGCGCCGCGCCCGCACCGTGGAGCTGCCGGACGGTAAGAGGAGGAGGAGGAGGAGGAGGAAGGGAAGGGGAAGGGAGCGGCCGCCTCTCGCTGCCCGCAGCCCGGGCACCGCAGCCTGGAGCCGGGCTGTGGCGGGGGGCGCCCCGCGGGGCTGAGCCCCGGGACGTGGCTCGGGAGAACGGGAGCCGGCTCCCTCCGGGGAGGTCTGGCTTTGAGCTAACCGGGGCCGTTTCCCCGTTTCCTTCTCCTTTTCCTATCCCCGCTGCTCGGTGGCACCGGGCCTCGGCTTTCAGCCGGGGTTTGTGTCCTGGGCTGGGTGCTGGCTGGCTGGCGGTGGCAAACCTCTTCTCCTCTCCTTTGTCTGGCGCCGAGTTTCGCCTGAAAAGCTGCCCCAGGTCGCAGCCACCGGTAACAGCCCCGCTGGTGTGGCTCCAAACTTCTCACGCATACCAGGGTGGACATGGAAAAAACAAAACAAAAAAAACATCTGCAGGCTGCTGGGACAGCTGGGTCAGCCTGCCAGCTGTGTCCGGCTGCGGAAAGCTCTGGGAAATGCAGAGGTTCAGTTCTCGTGAGTCATGTCCTGACGCTGGGGGAACTTCCTTCGGGGACTTGTTCCTGCAGATGAGCCTGCCAGCTTTCATTTCCAGCGTTGGAAAGGGAGGAATAATTCCCTGTTTTGTCCCTGCTTTCCCCATTCAGACTTCCTGGCCTGGCTGCTGTCCCCTGAGGACGGGTTTGATGCCTGCTGTGCAGTTACTCATATGTAACCCGGAATGACAGACACGTTTCGGATGGTTTTTACAGCTTCTTGTAAACCCTTGAATAGCAGCAGTGAAAATTGTTAACATAAGTTCAGACTTCCAGGGATAACATAGTAGCACCCGCTCAACTAATTGATGATGGCAATACAAAATACTTAGCACAACCTACACAAGTTGAAACTGTTTTAAATTCCGTACCAGTGCAGGCAAATTCATGCTGAATTTGGGTTTGTAAGTTTTCTTCCTGTCTTGGGCGTTATCATCTTGCTCTTCAGAGGTAATCATGTCTGTGGCAGTGCAAGTGCAAGCCCTGTGACCTTCACAACAGATAATTCCCTTGCCTTGTAGTGCAGAAGGAACTTCAGCCCTACTTATTCTCTAGGAACTACATGAAACAAACCATGGCTGGACTGAAATAAGGAGATAGCTGGATTTCAGGCACTAAAGGTCCAAATTGCATTCCAAGTAAACCTATGTGCAGTGTCATCTGGCTCTGTGTACACCTTATTAGATCTCTTCTCTTTTGACCTGTTCCCTGGGTTCATGCAGGCCTGCCCAAACGGTTCTTGAGAAACAACTCTTGTGAGAGTGGGTTTGGGACATAGTGTTTTGCTCCAAATGTGTACTGACATGGTCAGCTTAGTAAATGTCACTCCTGGTCTAGCATGGCATGTGGTTTGGTGGCTTCTCGGGTGCTGTGTCTGGCCGCTTCAATTAGGATTCTTTGAATAACTTTAATTGGAAAGATGAGAATGCCACCTCTGTTCTCCATCCTTAAGCTAAGAGTTGTAGTGCTCTCTTAGTAAGTGAAGAGGTATCTTTGAACTTGCTTGTGCTGAAGGTGCTAAATCTAGTTATTTGGCTTCCTTTGCATGTGCTCTAGCCATTAGGGAGTTGTTATATGGATGGTGCAGACACTTCTTTGAGATTGTGATCTCTGCCAAATTCAAGCCACTGCCTGTTACGAAATAAAATAATACGTGCTTCTTGTCAGGGCGGGATTCTGGATGATGAAATTTCAAGGGATTTTTTTTTTTTTTCTTACAAAGAAGAGCTCTGGAGTCTGATGCCGATGAATACACTGAGCTAACCTTGCCAACATGACGTAGCATTTGTTTTTTTATCATTCTTCTTAACTATCCTTCAGCAGACAATCTCTGGGCACTTAAGAGCTCGACACAGGTTTCTGGATTCTGCTCTCAAGGCTCAGTGTCTGAAACCTAGGCCTTGCCACCTGAAGTTGCAAGTCTTAGGCCCTTCAGTATTTGTGACTGGAGATGCAAACAACTTAAATAACGATCTCTCTAAGTTCATGAGGCATATGATGCTTTTTCTCTCCCTTGTATGATGTACTTTACTTTGAATCACTAGGAGTTTGCTTATGAATAGGGATAATATTTACCAAAAATAGACACAAAAGCTCCTTAGTCCCAAACCCTTTTAATTAGCTCTGTACAGAAATTGTACAGAATGTGCACTTTGTAAAGTGGTAATACTGACAGAAACAGTATCATTCAATTTCTAATATCATTCTGTGTCGTTCATTTCAGTCTGTTTCTGTCACTGATCTGCATGATTGTGTCCTAGCCTTTTTTCATTGCATTCAAACATGGACTATGAAACAGATTACAGGTGAAAATGAAATGTATTATATTCAGGTATTCAAGTTGAGAGACAAAAAATATGCATGGTTGTGGACTAACCTAGATTAAAGAAATTACTTTTCCACAGTCGTTATTCCTGTGAGTTTGTTAGTCACCTTGGGACACTGGAAATTTCCTTCTTTTTAAAATAATTGTGTTCTATTTTCGTTAATGCACATTTCTTAAGTACTTTAACTTAATTAACAGAATTAAAAATTAAAAGAATTGATGGAAAGCACGCTGTATTGAAAATTCTGTAATTATTACTTTGTAAAAGAGAGAAGCATGTTAAAATTTCATGTATTACAGTCATGTTCATTTCCTCTTCTAAGTATGGAGTATTTTTCTTTATAAAGTAACTTCAGGTACCTTTAACCTGTGTAATAAGAATGAGCTATTGAACAATGGACACTTCAAAAAGTGTGTTATTGTTCCAGATGAACTTATTTTGCTTTAAAGGTTGATTTATTTTAATGGAGCCATTTAATTTCTTTACAGATAATGAAACTGCTGTCTATACACTAATGCCAATGGTGATGGCTGACCAGCACAGGTGAGAAATTCTTTACGTTTCCTAGTTTTTTGTTTTAAGATCATAGAAACAGCATGTTTGCTGCAGCTACTAGAGCACTCTCAGGAGTTCTGCTGCTGAACTGAGATACCTTCTGTAGCCGACTGTGTATCCTTAACTGAGAAACCTGTTTTATTTTATACCTTAGACTAGAACTGGGATTTGTTCTATAGATGCATAGAGAGGAATTTGTGCTCGGATAAGAAAAGCATTGTTTTATAACTAGGTTATAGATTCAAGTGTGTGTTTTTTGATGATGTAAAAGCTGTTAGTCTCATGTAGACAATGAGGGTGATACTTCTTGGATTCCTTAGATGAGCAGCTCTTTCTCTTACTTGGTTGTCCTCAGTGTGTTTGGAACCTGGGTGCTGTGCAGTGCCAGCGAAGTGGTATTGCCACTGGTTTGATAGTGTGCCTCCTGCTGAAAATGTAAATTGCTTATCTAATCAGGATAAACATTTGTTCTGCATAATACCATGTTGATACTGTGTGCATAGGCTTTAAATTATGTGATCAGCTCATTGCTGGAGGTTGGAATGACTGGTTCACTTGTAGTCTGACTTATTTTGAGATATTTTATCTTAACTAATTGTTAGGACTTGAAGGGTTTTATTTGAATTTCTTAGCCTATTATCATGAGTCTTCCTACATTATCATAGTGATCTTGTGTACAAGTCTGCCTTCTGAACTTTATGTTTATGAAATCTGCTAGATATCTGGATAGGATGCTTGTGTTGAGTTAAGAAGATGTGAGTTTGTAGATTTTTCAAACCAAAGCTAGTGTTACATTTGTTTTCTGTCTGCGAAGACATGATTTGGCCATCCAGTGAAATGGTAAGTAGTTCACATTTGAGGCTTCTGCCCTGTCACAGTTCATTTTTTTTATGTACAAGTCAGAAGTGGAAAAGTGTTAATGTGCAGGTGCTTACAAGCTTTTGGAACTTTTCTTCAGAAATCAGTCAAAGGAGAAACAAATTGTGATCAAGTATGAAATAGAGTACTCGCGTACAAGTTGCAGTAAATACTTTGGATTCTGTGAACTATTTTTTATTAACGTTTTATATCTCTTTTTGAAGGTCTGTCTCGGAGCTGCTATCAAATTCAAAATTTGATGTGAATTATGCATTTGGACGTGTGAAGAGAAGTTTGCTTCATATTGCAGCAAAGTAAGACTTATTAGAGTCCAGACCAGAAGTTTACAATGAAAGTAATACCACAAATCTAAGGCACCAATGTAAGCTGGAAAACTCTGTAGTATCAGTTAACATTTGTTTTTGCACTACTTTTGATTTTTTTTTTGTTCTTTTTACCAAGAAAAATGTCTGTCCGTTGAGAGGACAGGTTTTACACGTGATATCAAATGGCTTTCCAAATTCTAGTGATATCTAGCACCTCGGTGGATACTTTTTTCCTTTCTCACTTGGGAAGCAGCTGTTCCAAATTTCTTCATGGACTGTAACAGATAACTTGGGAGATAACTTGGTCGTTCTCTTCTAATGTATTTTTTAAATAATATTTATCTCGGTTAAAGGACTTGAATGCAAGTTTCAGATGTGTGACCTGGATTTATTATTTATGTTGCTATTCTATGTGATAAATATTCATTGCCAAGAAACAATTGAATTAACATCCTTAACAGAAATGAACCAGATAGTTTCCTGAAAGGCCATTGCAAAAACTAAACTTCAATGAAAAAATGCATTGCATTTGGGTCCTGCTTTAACTGTTAAAAAAAAAAAAAAAAAAAAAGTAGTAGTGGTATTGCATATAAGTAGAAGGTATTTGGGCACAATAAAGTTAGAAATTCTGTGTTTCTAAGCAGGCTGTTTAAGAACTATTTTTCCCAAGCTTTACATCTCCGAATGACATGCTTCTTTTGTAAAATTTACTTAAAGAAGCGCTTAAAAAATGCAAGCAAATCTTTGCATGTGTCTTAAAAGTTTCTTTGAAATGCTAAATCTGTTGATCACAAAACCCAACAAATTATGTTATGCTGTTTGTGAATTCTCCTTTATCTTGCCTGTTTATTGGATCATTTAGAGATCATCAAGATGTCATTTTTGCAACTTACTGTACGGTTAGGCTATACAGTTTCTTTGTGTTGGTGTTTAGTGGCTCTGTCGTTGAGGAGACCAGTAACAGTAGATAAACTGGTGAGGACAAATGCAAGAATATTATGCCTTTATCCTCCTTCTCATCTCTTCTTGTTCAGAAGTGACATAAACATACATTCTAAATTATGTATATTCTTGGTGACGTTGATTGTCCAGAGGAGTTGTCCTATTACGAAAAGTAAAAAAGAGTTACAGATTCAAATCGAATAGCAAAGAAGCATTTGTATGAATCTTAGATTTTTTTTTCTGATATTTAAACTTAAAATTGCAACTTTCAGATGCTGAAGTGTAAGGAAAAAATTATATTGGAATTAGTATTTAATGGCAAGTTCAGTCCTGTGAATAGATGAAGGATGAAGGAGATGAGAGGAAATTGTAAACAAAACACTGAAGGGATAAAGCACATTTTGATTTATATTTTAAACAACTGGTAATCTTAAAGATTGGCTGTTGGATTTTAAAGTCACTGAAGGTTATCATGAATTCATTTATACAACTTTAGATCAGTCAGATCTCACTATGTTTAAGCGTCTTTCCTTTAGCTTTGTGTACCTTGGAAATATGAAGATGTAAAAACCATTTAGTGAGTTTTATCTGATTACAATCTGTACATAGTACTACTGTTTTTACATTGATATAAACTTGGTTTGTAAATATCCTTGTTATCTTGTTCTTAGCTGTGGAT